AGGAGCCCAGGGGCTGAGTGGGATTCGTTCACTAGGGCATGGCAGGTCAGACTCCCCTGGCTGGAAGGCAGCCTGCGCCGGGCTCCGTCCCATGTCCCCAGCACCCACCGTCCTGGGAGGCTACGACTACCACTCATCTTCCCAGCTGAACCCAATAGAAATGTCACGAATGTCACCGCTCCCCCCCCCCCCCCGCCCCCCTAGTGTCGGAGCCCTGCAGAGGGGCCTGGCTGGGGCCAGCCCAGGAGCTGGTTCTCATCTGCTTTTTTTTCTTTTTTAATTATTTATTTATCGAATCACCGTGAGAACAATTACAAAGCTTTCAGGTTTATGTCTCGGTTGTACAGTGATCCAACATCCATCCCTTCACCGGTGCACAATTTCCACCACCAAGAACCCCAGTATATCCTCCACCTCTCCCCTCCCCCTGCCGATGAGGCAGATGATTTCCACTAAACTCTCCCTCTACTTTGATTACATTCATTATTTCGACAAAAGATGCACCATTATTATTTGGAATTTTCCCCCAACAATCAGACCTGCTGAAAAGGCATCGTTAGATGATTCATTTTCTGTTGCAGATTATGAAGAGCATATGATTTTGGATTTCTGATATTTTGCTAATTAAATCTAGAGGGATTTCTGCCAAAACCTGCTGGGGTCCCAGATTGGTTTGTGTGCCTCTGGGATGATTGCTATTCCAGAGCCGGAGAGCTGCTCGTGGGGGGCAACTCGTGGTCTTGGCGGGGCGGGAAGGACGGGCCAGTTCCACCCCCATCCCATGAGGCGGTGGGTGCCCTGTCACACGCCGGCTCATACCTGGCTGTCCAGTAGTCTCTGAGGCTGCGGCCACCATGCTGCCAGAGGGGAAAAAGGCAGAAGGGACAAACACCCTTTCCCACAGGGTTGGGGGAGGGCATGGCGCCGTAGCTTAATGCAGAGTCCAGACACATTTCTGCCAACAGCCGCTGGGTTCCCAGATTGGTTTGTGTGCCTCTGGGATGATAGCTATTCTGGAGCCGGAGAGCTGCTTATGGGGGTCACCTGATTTTTAGTTTCTTTTGGGGGGGAGGGGACCACACCCAGAGGTGCTCTGGGGTTACCCCTGGCTCTGCACTCATGAATCACTCCTGGCGGTGCTCCGGGGACCCTATGTGATGCTGGGGGTCGAACCTGGGCCGGCCGTGTGCAAGGCCAGCACGCCCTGGACCACCCACTGCACTATTGCTCTGCCCACCACCTCCAGTTTGTTTTCTTTTGGGGAGTGGAAGAGGGTTGGGGCACACCTGGCAGTGCTCAGGGGCCGCCCCCAGTGTGGGGAGCACCCTCACCAAGACTGTCACTTCCCGGCCATGCTGGGTCTCCTGTCATGGGCCAGGAGGAGGTTGCCGGGAGGGCCAGTTAAGCCGGCCCTGTCCCCCGCCTCCTTCGCTGGCCGCTGGGCACAGAGGCCCTGGGCCGGGCAGATGGCAGGGGCAGGTGCGCACATCCAGGGTGCATGGTTGCAGGGTCTGGCAGGGTCTGGCAGGGGATGGCAGGACGTCTCGCGGGGAGCTGGCTGCGGGCCACTCTTGGAACCAATCGGGCTGGACCAGAGTCTCTGCCCTGCAGGGGGCCCTTCAGGTGTCCCTGGCACCAGCTGGCCATGGGACACCAGCTCCCGTCTCCGGTCAGGGTCCCCGGAAGCGATGCCACACATCCTCCAAGGGCAAGTCTTTGAGTCAGGACCGTTGTGGGGGATGCGGCCGGGAAGGGCAGAGCCGGGAAAGAGGGTCCCAGAGCTCAATCCCTCGGGGCTGTCAGAATGGCCCTGAACACTGAGTGCCTCAGTTTCCATAATTGCCAGGGCCTGTGGACTGAGAGATTTCCTGCTGGCTCCTGGACATGGCCCCGGCCTGAGCCCCTGGGGGAAGGACCAAGAGTGGACACAGGGGCCGCTGGGCATGTGCGTCGGGCTGGGCAGCCATTGGACCCCTGCTGTGGCAGGGCAGGGGCCCAGGTGCGGGAGGGTAAGGATCCTTCTATCCTTTCCGGCATCCTTGATGTCGTCCATCCACTTCCTCCTCCTCTTCCCCCTCCTCCACTTCCTCCTCCGCCTCCCCTCCCCCTCCTCCTCCTCCTCCTCCTCCTCCTGAGCTACCATAGTGGCCGCCATGTAGACACCGAAGGCGACCCGCCCGCCCCATGGCCCTGATCGCCAAGGCTCAGACGGGGTCCCCTGGCCTGCTTCGTGGCCGGGCAGCGGAGGGCTGGGCCCAGAACCCCGCCCGCGGGGCCTCCCAGGCCTGTCTGCAGCTCCTCGTGGGTGGCCCAGCCGCCCATTGTCCCCGCACAATAGTGGTGGCTCTTGGGAAGAAAGTGGGACGGATAGGCCCATCTAGGCCACCAAGCTGGCTCCGGCTTCCCGCAGGCGGCCCGGCTGCCTTTGTGGCCTCCCGCCTGGGGGTCCCTGACCCCGAGGCTGTGTCTCTGCCTCCACCACCGCCTCAGGGCCCTGCAGCTTCTCTCAGGCCCCAGGCCCAGCCCCGCTGAGCCTGGGGAGTCCAGGGCTGCTCCTGACCGCTTGGGGCCTCACACATTGCTCCACCCCCACCTCCATGGATCTCTGAGCTCAGTCTTGGCACTAGGAGAGGCAGCATCTGCACACGGTGCTTCTTCCCACCACGTCCAGGTCGCCTTCTGGAGAAAGGACAGTATCACGCAAGACTGCAGGCCAGCCCCTTGGAGGAGGGCGGTGGCATGTAGGGTCAGGCTTAGTGAATGAGAAGGGACTGCCCTGTGCAGAGCTGGGAGGGAGGGAAGCCTGCTGGGAGGAACAGCATGTGCAAAGGTCCTGAGGCAGGACTGGGCTGGTGGAGGGAACAGAGAGGGTGTGGAAGGGAGGGACAGGCTGCTGGCGTGTGAATTCAGGGAGGATAACTGGGGTAAGGTACCAGGTGCCTTCGGATGCCTTCCTGGGAACAGAGGAGGAAGAAGGAATACCTCTTTTGCTCCAGGCGAACTACCTTCAAAATAATTTTTAAATGGATTACCAGGTGGTGGGTGCCAAGATTTGAAGAATACTTTCAACAACGAAGCAAGATCACTTCCAAGTTTCTAGTATTGGCTATTTCCTTAACAATGGCTTAAGTCGCAGTTCATAAATACTTTATAAGTCTGATCGATTTTTAAGATTAATGCTTAAGAAATAGATAGTGAAGATTCCATCGATGTGATTGACAAAAAAAACAAGGACTTGGAATATTTTTAAAATATCTATTAATTTTCTTTTAATTGGGAGGTGGTTTGGACCACATGGGAGGTGCGCAGGGCCTACTTGTAGCTTTGTACCAGGAGTGACCCCTGGCAGTGCCAACGGGACTGTATGTGATACCAGGAATAGAACCTGGGTCAGTGGCTGCAATACCAGGGACCCTCCTGCACTCTCTCGAGCCCAGGGTTTGAAACTAAACACACAAGAACAACTGTAGTAGGAAACCAGGTAGGTTTCCACGCTGGCCGAGCAGGATTTGTGCACTTTTTTGATAGGTTTGTGCCCTCACACTTACGTAGACAGAGGACCCTGGGCAAGGACACGGAGACGGGGGGGTGGGGGGCTCGGGCCAGGGTCACCGAGGAGACAGTGTGACTGCAGACAGGGTGAGGTTCAGGAACTTGGCAGTAGTGGGCTCAGCAGGCATGGCCCAGTCTCTGGGCAGTGTTGTGTGTGTGTGTGTGTGTGTGTGTGTGTGGTGGGGCAGGGGGAGCTAGGATTGGGAGTTTGTATGTCTGTTATCTGTTATCCATCAGTGCCTCTCTGTCTTCCTACTTACCCACCCATCCATCAGTTTACCCATCCACCCATCCAACCATCCATACCCCCATTCCCCCACCCATCCATCTACCCACCCACCCACCCACCCACCCACCCATCATTTCATCCATCCATCCACCCATCTCCCCCACCCACCCATCCACCCACCCATTCATCCATCCCCCCACCCATCCATCCACCCATCCCCCCACCCACCCACCTATCATTTCATCCATCCATCCACCCATCCCCCCACCCATCCATCTACCCATCCCCCCATCCATCCATCCACCCACCCATCCACCCACCCCTCCATTTATCCATCCACCCACCTATCATTCCATCCATCTACCCACTCACCTGTCGTTCCATCCATCCATCCATCCATCCATCCATCCATCCATCCATCCATCCATCCACCCATCCACCCTTCTATCCATTCACCCACCCACCCACCCAACCACCCGTCTATACCTATCTCTCCATCTATCTTTGTGCCTCCTTGTTATTTCTTTTTCCGTTCCTTTGTGGGCAGCGCTGGGGATTGAGCCCAGGGCCCTACACGTGCAGACACTCACTCGCCCCCTGAGCCATCTTCCTGGCCACCTTCCTTGGTTTCTTTCCAGTGATGTTTCCACACTGCTGGGGTAGAATTCAGGTCTCGTGCAGGGCGCAGCGTACGTGCTGACCCTGAGCCACATCCCCGGGGCTCGTGCTTGTTGGGCCTGGAAGCTTCTCCGGAAGGAGTTTGGAAACAAGGAACTGTTTCTGGCAGGAGCATTGGTGGTGGCGGTTCCCACGGTGGGGAGCGGTCCAGCAGCTCAGGCTGGAGCAGGGGAAAAACCCTCGTATCTCTGACTTCTCACGCACGATTTCACCTTCATCCTCTTTATCCGTGCTGGGGTTGGGGCTGTGACCCGGGCGTGTGCTTTGACTCCCCGGCCCCAGGTTCGAGACTCTGGAGCTGAGCCAACATGTTCTTGTTTTGAAGTTACAGTTTCAGAGGCAGGAAGGTGGGGGCCAGAGATGCCCCCTGCGTCGAGGGCAGGCTCTGGGGCGCTGGGTGGGGTTCGGGGCCCGGGTTGGGGTGTGTACTGGGTCCTCCTTAGTCTCACGCTGACCCTGGCCCCTGGGGTCCTCCTGGCCATGTGGGTGCTGACTGTGCCCCCTGGGCAGGGACCACTCACCTCTCCCCGTTCCTTTCCAGGCGTTCCTGCACCGTATCCGCCAGAATGGGGCCGACTCGGTGGAGAAGGGGCTCACGGAGGAGAATGTCAAGGTGAGTGCCGCCATTGGGGGCATGAGGGGCACCGAGGGTTGGAGCGGGGGGTCAGCCAGGGACAGGGCAGGGGCAGCGAGGAAGCCCCATGCCCTAACAGTACAGATTTCTAGGGGGTGCTGCAGCCTCTGCTCTCAGCCTGCTCTTGCCCTTGGGCCTCACCCCTGCATGCGGGCGGGTCTCTGCCTGCACTCTGGGGTCTGTCCCAGGGTCACCTCACCTTGGCTGTCCCCACGTACACTCCCCAGGGCCGCCTCTGCCCTCCCAGGATGGCCTTCCGGTCTCTTTGTTGTCTTCCAAGCTTCCCTCAGCCTGGAACAACAGGATTTAGCTGTTTGTCTGCCTTTGTCTGCTCTCTCCCTTTCCCATGCCACCTTGGAGGGGGGGTGGCAGGCCCTGGGCTGTCCCCCGCTGTGACCCCGGAATTCTCCCAGTGCCCAGTGGCGCCGCCTGACTCGGCTGAGTCCACACCCGCTGAACCCCGGGAGGGAGTCATGAGCGTCCCCCCTCACTGGTGGCCGCGTGGGGGTGAGGGCGATGGCCAGGGGAGGGGTCCTCACCGCCTTCTTGTCAGTCACTGGGTATTTTTTTTTCTTTTTGGGTCACACTGGCGATGCACAGGGGTTACTCCTGGCTCTGCACTCAGGAGTTACTCCTGGCAGTGCTCAGGGTACTCTATGGGATGCTGGGAATCGAACCTGGATCGGCCGCATGCAAGGCAAACGCCCTACCCACTGTGCTATCTCTCCAGCCCCAGTCATTGTTTTTTACTTTTTTTTTTTTCTTTTTGGGTCACACCGGCGATGCACAGGGGTTACTCCTGACTCTGCACTCAGGAATTACTCCTTGCAGTGCTCGGGGAACCATATGGGATGCCGGGAATCGAACCTGGGTCAGCCGTTTTCAAGGCAAATGCCCCCTCTGCTGTGCTGTCGCTCCAGCCCCTGTGTTTTACATTTTAAACAGCCGAGAGCAAGGAGGGCTGAAGCCCAGAGCAGCAGAGGGCTTGCTCCTCCCTCGAGAAGCCCCTGTGGTACCTGACACCCCCTGGTCTCTGTCACTGAGATGCCAGGTGTCAGGACACAGTGGTCCCTTCCGGAATCACCCTGGGTTAGCAGGTGTGCCCTGGCCACCTCCCCAGTTGAGCCCCGTGGATTGAAGTTCCTTCCTGGGCACCCTCTGTGTCCACGGGGATGCCACGGTGGCTTCTCGGTGACGGTGAAGCATTTCACCTGCTCCCAGTCTCCGCGGTTCCTGCTGCTGCTCAGACACGGGTGCCGTCCACCCCCATCTCCTGCCCTGCTGGGAGACTGCGGGCGCCGGGACAGGACTGACTCCTCAGGCCAGAGACACCCTTTTATATTTGATATTTTTTATATTTTTTTCTGACTCGAAAGCTGTTGTTTAACAGCTGGTTGGATGACACCCATTCTAGCAGGGCCACATCTCTGGGCGACACACGTTCTTGGGGGCTACCCAGGGGCCGAGCTCGTTCCCTACAGGGCGCCCCAACCACACGTGTCCCGGATGCTGCAGGATGGCCCTGGTGCGTGCGTGCGTGTGTGTGTGTGTGTGTGTGTGTGTGTGTGCGCGTGCGCGCGCGTGTGTGTGTTGCAGGGGCGGCCAGTGGCCATGCAAAGGTGGGGAGGAAGGGGTGGGTCTGAGGGGCTCCTCCTGACACTGACTGGGTGGGGCCATGTCTGAACCCCGTTTCCATGTCATGGGGGGGATGTGGAGCCACAGCAAGTTAATAGGGGTGAAGGCAGGAAACAGGTGAGTGACGAGTGTCACCCTTACGGTCACTCCCGATTGTCCTCATGCCTGTCCCACTCTTAGGGGTCTGCACTGTGTCTGTTTGGGGGCCACACGTGGCGATGCTCAGGGCTTCCTCCTGGCTCTGTGCTCCGGGGACCATGAGCGGTTCTGGGGCTTGAAGCCAGCTCGGCCGTGGGCACTAACCCCTGGGCCATCTCTGCGGCCCCCACCGCCCGCACTCACGCTCTCCTCCTGTGCCCCACCTCTCTCTCACAGACGCTGTTCTCGAACATCGAAGACATCCTGGAGGTGCACAAGAACTTCCTGGCCGCCCTGGAGCACTGTCTGCAGCCCGAGCCTCAGTCCCAGCACGAGCTGGGGAACGTCTTCCTGAAGTTTGTGAGTACCGTGGCCTGGTGCCCGGGCATGCGCACTTCTCCCTCTGGCCCTCGGACCCTCAGACCCTCAGACCCAATGCTGCCCAGGTGGAGGGGGCCGAATGTGGGGCAGTGAGGAGTGGCTGGGCGGGTGACCTCGGGGCACTCTCTCGGCTCTTCAGCTATGCAGCCTGTTTCTTTCGGACCCTTCCTCGGACACTTGCCGAGGGCCTGGTCTGGGGGTGCCTGTCCAGGTTGGGGTGGGTCAGGGCTCAGCCCCTTGCGTGTCCCTGGACGCTGACCCCAGTAGCATTTCCCTGGCGCTGTGGGGTGCAGTCGAGGAAGGAGGGAGGAGGCGCTGGGCCCAGGGAAACCGGGGACCTGTACGCCAGCCCAGGGTGATGAGGCTTGGTGCTCCAGAGCCTCTCTGAGCCTCAGTTTCCTCCCGGGGGATGAGAGACCCAGGATGGATCAAGCAGGCAGTGAAGTGTCTCTGACCACAGTCTCCTCCAGGGAGTGTCACCTGGGGGTGTCTGGCTCTGTCCGGGCTCAGCTTTGTTTTCTTCTTTCTGGGTCACACCCAGCGATGCTCAGAGATCTCCCCTGGCTCTGCACTCAGGACTCACCCCTGGCAGTTCTCAGGGGACTGAACCTGGGTTGGCCACGTGCAAGGCTTGCACCCTCCCCGCTGTGCTATTGCTCCGGTCTGGGGTCAGTTTTGATTTGTTGTAGGTATGGGCATGAGTGTGTTCATATGTATGTGTGGTGTGTGCATTTGTATTTGTGTATGTACGTGTTCAGGTGCGTGTGGGTATCGTGGGTGTGCATGTGCGCATGCATTTTACATGTATGTGCTCGGGTATTGTGTGTGCAGTGCCCACATATGTATTGGTGTGTGCACCCATATATGCGTGTTCAGGTGTTTATGTGAATGTGTGCACACGTGCCTATGCATGTCCATGCGTGTGCATTGTTCATGGACCCCGGTGCTCTCAGCCCAGGAAGCTCCAACAGCAGCGCCCGTTTCCCAGGCGTCCTGGCCATTACTGTCCTTCCACTCATTCTTGGTCACCCACGTTCCTGGAAAGGGCCCACATTGGGAAGGTCAGGGTTGAGGGTGGGAGCCAGTAGTCCCCCACATTGGGAAGGTCAGGGTGGAGAGTGGGAGGCAGTGGTTCCCCACATTGGGAAGGTCAGAGGTGAGGGTGGGAGCCAGTGGTCCCCCACATTGGGAAGGTCAGGGTCGAGAGTAGGAGCCGGTGGTTCCCCACATTGGGGCAGCTGTGAGGGTCCCAGACCCAGGGGCTTCCGAGCAACAGCCTGGCTCGGTCTCCAAACTGCTCCTCCCAGCTCTGACCCTGAGCCCAGGAGTCACTCACTGTCCCAGCTTTCACTCCGGGGAGCCACTGGGCACCTCTTAGTGGCTGGGGGAACCGTTAAGAGCCCCACCTGGGAGGTGCGGTCCCTCTGTCATCTGTCCACAGTCTGTGACCCTGCCTCCTGACCCCTGGGGGTACTGAGACTCAGGCCTGCCTCACCTGCCCCACCATGTCCCTCTTCTAGAATATTCCCACTCTGACCTTTGCTTCTGCCTGAGCTGTTTCTGTCAGACTCTGGGACTTGCCCTTTCCAGGCTGGGCAGCTCCAAAGGGAGTGGCCGCCTGTTCCCTCCGCCTAACCCTGGGGTCCATGTGCACAGCGGCCTGTGGAGGTTTCTGCTGCTCTTCCTGGTTCTGTTTGGGGGCCACACCTGCGGGTGCTCAGGGGTCACTCCCTGTGGTGCTCATGGGGCCTTTTGGGGTGCTGGGGACGGTGCCCACTTGGCTGTGTGCGGGACGAGTGCCCTCCCCGCGGTATCATCTCCTCCTGAGCTGCTCCTCCCTGTCCAGTCTCCCGCCCCTCTCTTGCCCCCAGACTCAGCTCTCCTGGGCAGGGCCACCCGGACCCCGGGTCACCCCTGGCTGTGAGGGCCAGACTGGCCACTGACGCAGAATCCTGCCCTGGGCCATCATGTGTGAGTTTTCCGGGCACCTGGCCGTGCGCTGTCTGTCCCTTCCCAATGCTGGTCCCCTCAGGCAGCGGCCACCACCCAGGCCCCCGTCCAGAGGGAGCCGCGTGGCACTGGCTGTGCGAGGTGGGCAGAAGCGCCACGGTGCGGCCCTGACATGTGAGCTCGGGAAGCCCTGGTCAGCTGTGTGTCCGCAGCTCACCCCCCTCTGATGACCAGACCCGCGTCCTGTCAGGCCGGGCTGCCTGTTCCTCCGCAGACCCACTGGAACCCTGGGGGAGGAAGCGGCTCGCTCAGCGTGTGATTCAGGGGTTTAAATTGAAAATCATCTTTTTAATTTAAGATCGCCACCCCCTGCTGCCATGCGCATGGGAAATTGCACGGAAGACTTTTAGAGTAGCTCTGGTGTGTGTGTGTGTGTGTGTGTGTGTGTGTGTGTACAGGAGACTCATGCACAGGGAGACTTGGGGTGTGTGTGTGTGTGTGTGTGTGTCTCTGTGTGAGCCGGGGGCCCGTGTACAGGGAACCTGGTGTGTGTGTCCATGTGTGTGCGCGTGTGTGTGTATGTGTGTGTGTGTGTACAGGAGATCCATGCACAGGGACCAGGGGTGTGTGTGTGTGAGAGAGAGAGAGAGAGAGAGACAGACAAACAGACAGTCAGAGAGACAGGCAGAGAGAGAGAGAGAGCTGGAAACCCATGTACAGGGGACCGTGTGTGTGTGTGTGTGTGTGTGTGTGTGTGTGTGTTCAGGAGACTCATGCACAGGGAGACCTGGGGTATGTTCTCTGTGTGAGCTGGGACCTGTGTACAAGGGGCTTGATGTGTGTATCCCTGTGTATGCATGTGTGTGTGTGTGTATACAGGAGATCCATGCACAGGGACCTGGTGTGTGTGTGTGTGTGTGTGTGTGTGTGTGTGTGTGTATGTGTGTGAGAGAGAGACAGAGAGAGACAGGCAGAGAGAGAGAGCTGGAAACCCATGTACAGGAGACCTGGTGTGTGTGTGTGTGTGTGTGTGTGTGTGTGTGTGTGTGTGTGTGTTCAGGAGACTCATGCACAGGGAGACCTGGGGTATGTTCTCTGTGTGAGCTGGGGACCCATGTACAAGGGACTTGGTGTGTGTGTCTCTGTGTGTGCATGTGCGTGTGTGGGTGTGTGTGTGTCTTTCGCCCCATGGTGTCACAGGACATGGCTGCTATGCAGTGTCTGTGGAGGCCTGTCCACTCTTCCCGGGCCGTCCACAGCCGGCCAGGGGTGTGCGGGTGCCACAGCTCTTCCTCTGTCCATCCTGGCTCTCCTCAGCACACCTGCTGCTCCTTTCTGGGGTCACAGGGCACCGGCTGTGGCGGTGGCCTCCATCTCTGGCCATCTCTTGCCTTGTGCCCAGCTGGCAGCTGCCCCCACCTCCGTGGAAGCCTGAGCCCAGGCCACAAGCCCGGAGTGGGCTCCTCGGAGGAAATCCAGCCTCGGACCCCCGCTGTCAACTGTAGAGTTCTGTTGTTCGCGAGGCCCAGGGCCCATGTCCAGCTGGGGTGGACTGTCTGCATGAGCCGCTGCTCAGGCCCCGGAGTTGGGGACGGAATCTTGGCACCTGCTAAATTTAACTGCGCGGCGCTTCCGCCTGGGTCCCCTGCCCTTCGCAGGGGCTGAAGGAGAGGATGACATTGCGAGTGCCGAGTGCGTCAGCACAGGGCCCTGGGGAGGGGGATGACAGACCTGCAGCCTCCGCGTCACTCAGCCCCCGTGCCACTCAGCCCCCCTTCCCGCCAGTCCTGGGGGCAGCAGTGAGTCAGTCGCCGCTGTCACCGCTGTCTGCCTCTGCTCCCTGCCGGCTCCCGGACTCTCCTTTCTGGGCTTCCGATGGCTCAGCCCAGACACACTTGCCTTTGCTTTTAGATGGATGAGGACAGTCGTCAGGTGACCCAGCCTGGGTCCATCTCTTCATTGTCTTCCCTCCTGAAGATGTGTGTTAGGGTTGTCTTCACTGCAAGAGACAGTGGCACGAACTCACATACACATACACACGTGCACATGTGCGCACACACACACACACACACACACACACACTGACTATATTGCCGCATACCAATGAAAATGTTCTGTGGGTAAGTTGGCTTCAGGAATGGCTGGATCCAGGCCCCCATACGCAATTAAAAAATTCTTTTTGGCTCTTGGGCCACACTTGGCAGCGCTCAAGGGCTTATTCCAGACCCTCTGCTCAGGAATCACTCCTGGCAGTGCTTAGGGGGATATCAGGAGTCGAACCCTGGTCAGCATAATGAGGGCAGATATTCTATCTGCTGAACTATCTCCCCAGCCCAGTTTTGGAAATTTATTCTCCCTTTCTCAGATTTGCTTTCCCTTGCATTGACTTTGTTTTTGGAAGGGTGTGTGTGTGTGTAAGTGTGTGTGTGTGAGTGTGTGAGTGTGTGTGTATGTTTGTGATTGTATGTGTCTGTTTGTATATGTATGTGAGTGTGTATCTGTGTGTGTGTCTGTGTGAGTGTGAATGTGTTTGTGTGAGTGTGAATGTGTGTATCTGAGTGTGTGTATATGTTTATGAGTGTCTGTGTGTGAATATGTGAGTGTGTATCTGTGTGAGCGTATATGTCTGAATGTGTTTGTGTGTGAGTGTGTGTGTCTGTGTGTCTGTGTGTGTGTGTGAGTGTGTGCATGTGTACATGTGTGTGTGCATCCCTGGCTCATGGAGGCGCTGTCTGCGCAGGGTCAGAGGGTTCCGGCAGCTGCGTCTCCAGGAATCCCAGCAGCCGGGGCCTCTGTCAGCCTCTGTGGGGCTCACAGGGGCTCTCCGACGGGGCTCCGTGCTCACCTGTGACCAGGGGTGCAGAGGCCCGGGGTCTCCCGGAATGGAGGTTCTTGCTCCGGGGGACGATGTGTGCCAGGACAGAACAGAAAGAGTGCTCTTGCTGGCTGGCCCGCGGCACTGACGTGTGGGGGGTCTGCGCGGCCATGGGGTTATGGGCCCTCTGCCCTCAGAACATTGGACGAGGGCCGGGGAGGGGTGGCGGTCAGCCACGTATGTCCCTTGTGGCCTTGAGTGGCGATGGGCATCCACAGGGGACCAGGCCTGGGCACTGGCGTCCAGGAGTGATTCCGAGACATTGACTGGGACCTGCAGGAGCTGATGGCCGCGGGTCAGGGGATGGGGGTCGGGCGTTCAGAGAAAGGTGGGGCCTCTCTGGCTCTCAGGCTCGTCTGTGGTCCAGGGTTCCATGTGGGCGCCCCACAGGGCTGCATCTCAGTGGGCCCTGTGTTTGGAACCCAGAGACACCTGAGGACTTGTTGCAGCTCCATGTGTCAGTCCCCTCCCCCTCACAGCTGCTCTCGGCAGGGGGAAACTGAGGCATAGAGGGTTCTGGACTCGTCCCCAGGGCCTCTGGGAAACACCGTATCAGACGCCCAAGCCCGGGGTGCAGCCGCCTCCTGGGGGGCTCCTCAGTGCCGGGTGCGGGACAGGGCAGAGTTGGGGCAGGTGGGCACCTGAGCAGCTGCGGCTCAGAGCTCTCCCCGTGGGTAGGCGGGTGGGCACCGCGGGTCCGGCCCGACACTCACCGTCTCCGTCTCTGTCTGCAGAAGGACAAGTTCTGCGTCTATGAGGAGTACTGCAGCAACCACGAGAAGGCGCTGAGGCTGCTGGTGGAGCTGAACAAGGTCCCTGCCGTGCGAGCATTCCTCCTGGTGAGTGCTCCCCTGCCCCACGCCGGCCTCCCAGGACACAACAGAGCCGCACGGCTGGCCCCGCCATGGGGTCACTCATCAGACGCAGGGTCGCCAGATGTTCTTGTGCTGGCCCAGGGAGGGACCGTTGGCCTTTGAGGGTCTCCAGACCCTCTCCCCAGGACCCGGCCTGGCCGCCGTGAGTAACGGGTGAAGGACCAAGGCCACGGGCTCCAGCCTCACACGGGCAGGGGCTGCCGGGCGCTGGGACAAGCTGACCTGCTCTTGTCCCGAAGCAGAGGTTCCCAGACTCACTTCCCCTGCCCCTCTGCAAAAGAAAAACTATGCAGTGTCCCCTTCTCCCCAAATATACCTTCTTTAAACAAAAGACCACCCCCCCTCATTGTATTGGAGGCAACTGAAAGCCTCCAACCCCGGCTTTCCGGAGGTCCCCGTCACTGGTCTAAAGTAATGATGCAATGAAGCGTGGAGCAGTGGTTGTAATAATCACTATCACTGTCACTGTCACTGTAGCACTGTCCTCCCGTTGTTCATCGATTTGCTCGAGCGGGCACCAGTGACATCTCACAATAAATTGTGAGACTTGTTGTTACTGTGTTTGGCATATCGAATACATCACGGGTAGCTCTGCCGAGCAGGCGAGATACTCTTGGTAGCTTGCCGGGCTCTCCGAGAGGGGTGGAGGAATTGAACTCGGGTCAGCCATGCTGGCTGCGTGCAAGGCAAGCGCCCATCTGCTGTGCTATCGCTCCAGCCCTAATAATCGCTATCAGGACTACTTAATTCTAGTGGAAAGAACATGCAGTCAGAACTGGAGCAAGCCAAAGGAACAGTGCATGGTTCACGTCTCCGAGAAGTTGCAGAGCCGAATGGGCTTCCAGCACAGCTGGATCAGGGTGTTCCAATGAGTGGTATCCTCGGAAATGGGTCCTCGCCCCAGGCTGACTCTCACGGGCTGGTCCCAGGGCCCCCTGCAGCTCCTTGCTCACAGTCACACACACGCGCGCGTGCGCACACACACACACACACAACCGTCGCATGCAGCTCTCCAGGATCGAGAGTGCGCTCACATGCACACACACACACACACACACACACACACACACACAGCCTCCTCACGTGCAGCAGTCCGGAAAAGAGAGCATGCATGTCCTGTGTTGGATGCTTAGGGACTCAGTTTGACTCAGCCCTGATCCCACAGCTGCAGCTATAGACAGGGCATGGGGGTGCTCTGATGGGGGCGGGGGGCAGTCAGCCACACCCAGACCACAGTGAGGGTCCCCCATGGATGGTTGGTCTGTGTCTGGGTCGGGCAGTGGGTCAGGCTGCTGTGGGCAGATGGTGGCCACCCGGCAGCGTCTCCTCCAGGGCTGTAGTATCATGTTGTCTAACTGGGTCCCTCTGGGGACCCCGTTGGGTACCAACTGCCCTGGGCTGGGTATTAAGGTGGATGTGGGGGACCTGGGAGGTTTAAACAGGACTCGTGTTTATATGCAGGATGTGGTCAGTGGGCGGCTGGCGGCCTGGCCTCCTCCGGTGGGCCCAGACCCCCTGCCCCAGTGTCCACGTTCCAGGTGGGGTGAGGAGGAAAACCTGCCCTTTGCCCTTAAAGGGGCCAGCAGAAGAAAACCCTGCCCTTCACTCTGGCCCACGTCCTGTTGGCCAGATCTGAGTCGTGGGACCAGGCCTTGCTGCAAGAGAGGCTGGGAATGTCCCCGTCAGCCCCCGGGATCCTTCCTCACAGCCCTCAGTAGTCGCCCACGGGAGCGTTATTTAAAAAAAGTTTTTATTTTTATAGAGTTTTTCACAACTTATCACCTTCAATATTCCAACACTAATCCCACCACCACTACATTTTCCCGCCACCAACCAAGCCTGCCCCAAAGGCAGCTCTCAAATCATTTATTTTGGATTGTTTGCTGTGGATAATCCGCTAAAAACCATCCAAAAAAGGTTCCTCAGAGGAACGTGTGTGAAGATTGTTGTATCTCACCCTGGGGCCTTTAAGCCCTCGTATAAGAGATTGCTAACCTGTTGTTACAGGTTGGGCCTCGTGTGCTAATATATTTTTGTGATCGAGGTTGGTTGTCTTCCCCTTCACACCCCATCAAATGCGGCATGCCACTGGTATATTGGTGGCATAGGGAATGAGATGTCGCGAGACCACGAATGTGGCTGCCCACATTTTAATGACAGTTTAATGACTCCAAATGTCGTTAAAGAGATGAATGCTGATCGATTTCCGGGCCCCCGCTCCAAAACACAAAACTTCACACGATCGTGCCAAACTGCGGGACAACCTGTGTCTGAAAAGCAATCGCGTTCCTCACGGGCCTGACCCTGGTCGTCCTCACCTCTCAGGGCCCCTTTCTTTCAGGCAAGACCTGCGCCACCTGCTCCCTACCAAAAAAAAAAAAAAAGCCAAACCCCGTCTGCTTCCAACAGCTGTTTAGAATTCAAGCCACACACGCAGAGTGTCGTTGCAGACACGGCACGAAGGATCTCCCATGCACGGAGACTAAAATCCTTCACTGCATTTCTCCTTAATGCATGGGCCCCGACCAAAACCTTTCCAGAATTTGGGTTCGGATTGTGTGTGAGCTCATGCCAGTGGCCTGGTTCCAGGGGGCATCTGAGCGAGGGCAGATGGGCTGAGAGATTTCACTCGGCCTCCAGGGCCTCCCAGGTGCCTGCTCAGGGTCTGTGCAGCCCACGGCCACCTCTTTGCACTTCAGGCCCTCGCTGCTGGGTGTGCAGTGGTTCAGGCAGAGAGCAGGGTCTGTGGGTCTAAGGACATACACAGACACGCACTCACACAGACACAGTCACACACACAACACTTACACGCACTCACACACACACTCACACACTCACAAACTTACACACTCACACACAAACACATTTACACACACAGTCTCCTTCTGGCCCTTCACTGGAACTCTGCACACACACACACACACACATACACACACACACACACTCACACACATACATAATCTCCTGGCCCTTCACTGAGACACTGCACACACACAGACTCACACACACACACTCCTTCACTGGGACTCTGCACACACACACACACACACACACACACACTCACACACGCACACACTCTCTCTCCTTCTGACCCTTCACTGGGACTCCACGCGCGTGCGCACACACACACACGCACACACATAAACACACACACACACACACACACTCACACACACTCCTTCTGGCCCTTCACTGAGACTCTGGTTTGTGAAATCCAGTGATTGGCTGGAGACTGGAGCACATGACCCAAGGAGAGGTTCCTGCACTCAGTGATTAACGGCGGAAGGCTGTGTGGACGAATTAATTAGGCTGGTGTCGGACGTCACACCCTGACCTGGCCATGCCTGAAGCCTGCGCGGCTCTGAGACTTTGCAGAGACGTGAACCTGAGCACTGAGAATGGAGCACAGTGCCACTCAACACGCCCCTGGGATCAGCTCTGCTGCCCGGGCTCCCTGGCCGGGGGTCCCCAAGTCTGCGGGTGTCCTCGGGTGTCAGGAAGGCATCTGCAGGGCTGTGGCTGGACAGAGCGGGACCTCCGTCGCCCTCCTCCCGGCTGCCTGGTGGACCTGGCGGCTGTTGTCCTCGCGGCAGCTGGGCTGGGGCGGGGGGGGGGGGGGCGCGTGTGTAGGGTGCCAGTCGCCCGGCCATCTGCCTCCCTCCTCGCTGGCATCTCCGTGCAGTTGGCCACCTGCAGCAGAGCCATCTTGGGCCTATTATGGGATGTCCTGGACCAGGCGGGCTCCGGGAGGTGGACACAGTGTCCTGCGCTGGTTTTCTTGTCTGTCAAGGGGGGACCGTTTATTGGTGGATTCCCTCAACAGCTGCTTGCCGAGCGCCTACTTGTAGGATTGGGGACACAGCCACATCCCTGCTCTCAGCGAGTGGCCTCTGGAGGCACACAGTTCCCTGACCTATAGACTGTTGGAGGAAATGAGACCTGAGGGGTGTTTGGAGGAAGGGAGGTGGTGCCCGCTAGCGCAGACTGGTCTTTAAGAGAGCCGCATCTTAGTGACCTTGGAGCAGAGCCTGGAGAGAGGGAGAGAGGTAGGGGGTCTTGGGGAAGGAGCAAAAGCTTTTCAGGTCAGAAGGCATTGCACGTGCAAAGGTCCTGAGGTCATGTGTTTGCAGATGAGCAGGAAAGCCGAGTTTCTGGAAGGGGACGGAGAGGGAAGGTGGTCGGACATGTCCAGAAGTAGAGTCTGGCTAGTGAGGGACACCTAGACATGGGTAGGGGCCCAAGAGTTTTATTTTTATTATCTTATTACTCCTCATTCTGTGCTCAGGTGGTACTCCTGGTGGTACTCAGAGGACCATGAACGATGCTGGGGATTGGACCTGGGGCCAGCCACCTGCGAGGCTTAACCAGCTGTGCTTTCCCTCCAGCCGGGGACCTGGGGGTTTAAAATGAGCTTCAAGGGGCGTCCAGTGACCTGCAGGCAGCGCACCCCCACGCAGGGATATGGTTCATGGCCGCAAGGAGCCACCGAGGGGAGGGAGGAGGAGGGGAGGGAAAGGGAGAGGAGGGCCGAGACACCGTCTCTCCAGACGGCCCTGGGCCCTGGCCCCCACAGGCCCCTCTCTCGGGTTCCCCCAGGCCCCGCCACCTGTGGTCCCTGCCCCATGGGAATGGGTGACGTCACTCCCATGCCAAGGGACTTTGCCTGGGCACTGGTGCCCGCTCATCCCCAGGGCGTCCTGATTCAGTGCGAGAGGGACATGCGCAGGTCTGCCTTCCCGAAGCCCCCCCCCCTTCCCCCTACCCCCGCCCCAGCCAGGTGAGAATCGGGTTTTTGGGCAGCGGCTGCCGTGGCCTCGGGGCTGCAGTCGGTGTGTCTTGGCTCTGTCCTCTGAAAGTTCTGGTGGTCGCGGCGTCACTGAGAGAACAGCCTCATCTTATAATCAGGTCCCGAAAGATCCGAGTGGGGGCATCCGGTGGGTGTGGCACGTGGGTCATCCCTGAAGCTACGGAGGCCACCGGTGTGACAGCGAGGGCAGGGGGCAGGGGGTCCGAGGGTCAGGCGGGGCTGACCGTTGGTGACATACACAGGCACGAGGGGCCTTTGGGGTCCAGACGACCACGGCCACAAGCCACAGCTTCCAGAGGCAGAAAAGGCTGAGACCGAGGGTCAGACAAGTCCAGCTCCCAAACAGTGCTCGGGGTCCAGAGACCCTGGGAATTCGGTCTCATCGGCTGATGGGTCAGTGCTGGGGGCTGGGGCTGAGGTGGCCCAGCAGGGCCACTCCCGAGGGACTCAGGCCATCAGGCTCACTCTGGACATGTGCTGTGGGCCTCAGGGCGCCCCGGGGATGTCTGCGGTCAGGGTGCTGGGGTTATCCCGGGGTCGGGCACGCAGGCGAGGCAGAAGACCCAGGTCTTGCATGGTGGCCCGGGAATCCAGGACCGTCTCTCTGTGGCCCCCAGTGCCGGGAACCGTGCCCGGCCCGTTGCGAACACACGGGGTGCAGGGGAGAAGAGGTCGGAGCCCCCTCCCCGCACCCTGCTGCCTCCCACCCTGCGGGCTTTGTGCTGGGTGCTGAGAAGGCTGGGGTGTCACATGACCGCTGCCCTGCCAGTGCTCAGAGCCTGCCCTGCTGTGCCCGTCCCGCCCTGCACTCGTGCTGGGTTCCATCGGGTGGCATGGCGGAAGGTCCTCAGGGTTCAGCTCCTCTCGCCGTCCAGTCCAGACCGTGGCTTTTCTTGGCTCCCCAGGGAAACCCCTGCCCAGGAGAGGACAGTATCGCAGTGGCAGGTACTGTCTGGGATGGTGACCTAGAGTAGACATTGATTGCAACGGGAGGGCTTCCTGGAGGTGATGTTTCTGGCTGGCCCTGGAGGATGGTGGGCTTGGATGGGGGCAGCTCAGGGTCACAGCCCATTGTCAGTCTTCCTGGGCCTCACCTCATTCATGGTGGGGAGGGGGGAGATCTCAGGCTCCTGAGCCGTGAGCTGGGATCACAGGTGTTCAGGGTTGGGGCCTCCGGAAGCTCTTAAACAAAATTTGTTTTTTCTTTCTGGGTCACACCCAGCAATGCTCAGGGGTTACTCCTGGCAGTGCTTGGGGGACCATATGGGATGCCGGGGATTGAACCCGGGTCGGCCTCGTGCAAGGCAAACGCCCTCCCCGCTGTACTCTGGCCCAATCTCTGAAAGCTGTTGGTTCGTGCTGGCCGGGGAAGGTGCCGAGTGCCTCCTTGTTACTGGGGGGCCAGAAGTATTTTAGGAGCCCAGGACAGGGGCCCGAAAGGCAGAAAGTCATGCTCTGGGTGAGGCCACTGGACACAGAAGTGGCCGGTGGCCCCAGGGGAAACTGTGCTGGATTCCAACCATTGTTGGGTGGACTTTGGTTTTGCACTTGGAGCCAAACTCGGGTCACCCCTCGGGACCTCACAGAGCCCCACCTTCCGGGTCAGAGGGCAGCGAGCGGTGGCCTGGAGCTGGGCAATGTCTCTCTAGGCCAACACGGGGGTGCTCTGCCCGGAGCAGTCTCCACGGGCAGGTGCGGCTGGGCCTAGCCTCCGGGTTTGCTTGCGGTTCTGCCCTGGCCCCGTGGGAGCCGCCGCTCACCGTTCCCTCCTCCAGCGAGCGGGCGTTCAGGCCCCGTCCTGACTTTGTCCGTTTGTCTTTGTGGTTTGGGGGCCACACCCAGTGGTGCTCTGGGACGGCTCTTGGCTCTGTGCTCAAGAGTCACCCCTGGCAGTGCTCGGAGCACTGTGTGCTGGTGGGGATGGAGCTTTGATTTCTTCCCCCGGGACCAGGTGGCGAAGCTCTGATGCTTTGCAAGATGCCGGTCTCTGTCCCGCTGCTCAGCCCTGACCTCAGCACTGACCACAGCCTGTGGCCCCCCTGGAAAGATAGAGCGTGGCTGTTGGCCCCAGAAGCCCCGCGCGGGGAGCTGGCCCTGGATGCGGCTCCTGGGCTGTCCCTCTCCTCGGGCAGGGCCGGGGTTCGACTGAGCTGCCTCCACCACACCGGTAGCTGCGTTTCGAGGTGTGACCTTGGGGTCTGGGAGGGTGGCCACACCCCACCCTGGTGGCCCGTGGCAAGTGCTCACGCGGCTCTCTGTCCCTCTGTAGAGCTGCATGCTGCTGGGCGGCCGGAAGACCACGGACATCCCGCTGGAGGGCTACCTGCTGTCCCCCATCCAGAGGATCTGCAAGTACCCGCTGCTCCTGAAGGTGAGTGCTGCCCCCAGCATCGGAGGGGCCCCTCGACGGTATCGGGAGGGACGACTCCAGTGGTATTTTTTTTTATTTCTTTTTGGGTCACACCCAGCGATGCTCAGGGGTTCCTCCTGGCTCTGCACTCAGGAATGACTCCTGGCGGTGCTCCGGGGACCCTGTGGAATGCTGGGAATCGAACCCGGGTCGGCCATGTGCCAGGCAAACACTCTCCCCCCTGTGCTATCGCTCCAGCCCCTCAAGTGGTATTGGGAGGGGCTGGGACCCCAGCTCGGATGTCCCCAGCAGGACAAACGGAACCTGAGTTGGGGCAGCTCAGCTGGGCTTTCCCTCGCACTGGTCAGCCTGATTTTCAGGCTGATAAAAATGGCCATAGGTGCTCTGGCCTCACACCCCTAGGGTCAGGCACTGACCTAGGTGGCACTGACAGGGGTCCTGAGAACCACCCGGGCCGCCATCTGTCGTGCGAACCTGACCTCGAGCCATGACATGATAAAGGGCCTTTGCTTGTTCCCTTCTTCCCCTCCGGCATGAGCCCACCTGGTTCTACCTCCATCGCCGTAAGGCAGTGCTGGGCTCTGATTGTCTGGGAGCACAGAGAGCCGCTCCACTTCTCAGCCAATCACTGAGCAGAGGGACCTGTCCTTGGGTCATGTGCTCCAGTCTCCAGCCAATCACCGGATCTCACAAGCCAGAGTCCCAGCGAAGGGCCAGAAGGAGAGTGTGTGTGTGTGTGTGTGTGTGTGTGTGTGTGTGTGTGTGTCTGTGTGTGTCTGTGTGTGTGTAGGTGTGTGTAGAGTTCCAGTGAAGGGCCAGAGGAGGAGAGAGAGAGAGAGAGAGAGAGAGAGAGAGAGCGAGCATGCATGTGTGTGCACACCTAGGGTTCTAGGATTCTAGGCACCTTCTCAGCTGGGAGGATGGTCAGCTCTGCCCCAGGCACTGCCCTCACCCTTGGAATCCGTGACTCTTGGCTGGGCCCGCCTTGGCCTCGTCCAGATGACCCCAGCATCCCTGCTCAAGGTTTGCCTTGGCTGGTGGCGCCTTATTCACGCACTTGTTCACTGGGACCATGTCCCTGAGCCGTGAATGGGAGTGGGAGGCGGAGGAGAGAAGCGTGTGCTCGGGAATGCTTGAGGGGTGACGTTGGGGCCGCTGAGCTGGCCCAGGTCCGGGGCCATCAACTCTGCTGCAATCACAGCCTTTGCCATGGCAGTTGGGGGACAGCCAGCTCTTCCCCGGGCTGCTGTGGGTCCCTCCCGGGCCCCTCCAAGGAACGGGAAGGGTCTCTGTCGCTGCCCTCTGGACACGCCGCTGGGCGCCCGCAGGCAGTCTGGGGAGCTTGTAAGTCAGTAGACTGCAGGGTCCTTTATCGGGGGGGGGGGGGGGGGGTGGATCTTGGGCAAGACGGAGCCTTGCCCCGCTTCAGAGGGTGGATTCAACAGTCGGAAGTCTTCAGTAGCGTTTGGTTCAAAACTGTGGCAGGTGAGCCCGTCCAGGCATCCCACGGTCTGGTTTTTTTTTTGTGTGTGTGTGTGTGTACAACTCATGAGCTAAGAATGCTGTTTACATTTTGACTAGGTTGGGATAAAAACAACCGCCAAACAAACAGGAATATGCAACAGAGACCGGATGTGGCCGGCCGGAGCCTAAACTATTTACTGTCTGGCCAGGCAGAAAGGTTTTTCTGAGCCTGAGGAGGTCTGCTGACTCGAAGCCAGGCGTTGGCTGCTGTGGCTGCCACGGGGACCGGGTCCAACTCAGCCCTCGGGGCAGGTGGCCGGGTCCTGGGTTCTCTCGTGTCTTCCCAGGCTTAATGGGGGGATTCGGAGAAATCGCTGTTGATGTACTTGGTTCTCAGAGTGACTCCGTAGGGTCAGCACTGGTCTTGGTCCCCTCGCAGAGGTGAGGCCAGAGGGGTCGGTCCCGAGGAGGGAAGGGGCCTGCTCTGAGCTCCCGAGGGGGAAACTGTCCCATGGGCTCCAACAAGTGCCAGGCTGGACACCTTCCCTCTCAGCGGGACACTGCCCTAGAGGAGCTGGGGTGGCTTCGTGCTGGGGCTCTGGGGATGGGTGGAGCATTTGGGGATGCTGGAGGCTCGTGGCTCCCAACTCTGGCTGTTTGGCTCCGTCCCGGGGTTTTAACCCCTTCAGTCCCGGACCCATTCAGAGCACCCGCCAGTGTCCCGGAACCCAATGGAGCGTCCCTCATGTCCACTCTTTGCTCTGAGGTCCCGGCGGACACTTGGAGCGGCAGGCTGAGTATTGGCGTCGCTCCGCTCTGCCGGCCGGATTCTTGGATTCTGGAGTCGGAGTTTCCTGGAGAGACAGACCTGGCCGCAGCTGACCCCGGAACCGAGGGCTTGGTCCGCCCGCCCGCCTGTGGGCTTGTTGTGTGCTCCTGCGCTGTTTACACACCCGTTTCCCCGGCGCCCAGCTGTGTTTATGGACTGGGGGTGCTCCGAGCGCTGGCGCCCAGCCAGCAGGACAGAGATGCCCCTGGGACTGTGCTGTGCCCCCACCCGGCCCCCGGCCCCACTGGCACGGAGCCTCTTGGCCTTTGGCACTCACAGCTGGAACGTTTGCATCAGAAAACAGCTGGGGCTCGGGGCAGTGCGTGTCCACCCCGCCCGAGTTCCTCCTTCCCTCACATTTTCCAGTGGGTTTGAAAAGGCCCCAGGCACGTAGGCAGCTGCACCCCTGCCCTGGCCTTGCCAGTCCTGACCTCTGCGCCTCCATCTCCCCCCGTCAGATGTCCTCATAACCATCTGAACCCCTCGTTTGAGCCAATTTTCAGACCGAGAGGGCAGTGGGCTGGGAGGAGACTGGGCAGAAGAGGGAGGAGGCGCTTGAAGCCCTTTGGGGGGCCCCCGCCCCTCCCATGCTGAGCTCGAACACTGCCTGAGAACAGCCCGGGCCTTCTCCCCCGCTCCCCTCACTCCCCAAAGCAGTTCACAGTTTGTACCATATTCATATCCCACCACCAGTCCTACCACCCTAACACCTTCCCATCGCCTTTAGGGACCCCCTCCTACCCCCGAGCCTGTCACGTGGAGTGAAGTGTAAGTCCCTGTGCGGCTGCGTGCTCCCGGGATTCTGAGGTTTGGGGGAGGGTGACAACCACCGGTGGCTCTCTCGCGAGATTCATTTCTCTGTCTCTGGATCTCGGCCGTTACTGAGGCCGTCACTGAAGTTAAGTGGCGCCAAGGTGGATCGCGGGTGGGGCTGCCGTCGCCCCGACCTTCTATTTCAGCCACAGGCCAGGCCGGCCCGGCCCGGCGCTTGGCATTTGCAGGCGTGGGGAGTTTTTTTCCGTCGACCTTTCCAGGGTGAGGTTGGCCGGGGGGGGGGGGGGGGGGGAGGGCTCGTGGCAGGTGTCCTCCTGCTCGTTGGCCAGCATACCCAGCTCTGCCGGGGTGCTCGGGGGCAGCGAATGAGACCTCCTCTCCCCGCCCCAGGTGGGATCAGAGTTTTGGGTCTTGCTCCGGGTGTCCCTGAAGGTGGGGTGTGCCAGGGGGCCACATCTGCCCCTGGTGACCCCCCAGTGTGGCTTCCCCTCCCTCCCAGGCCCCCCTCCTCGTCTGCTCTGGTGGTCCTTCCCCTTCCAGGCCTCAGACAGCGTGACGTCGTGGGCTCGGCACATTCTCTGCCCTGTTCCTGCTGAGTCTTTGCCCCATGCAAGCCAAGTCTGCCAAGGGGTCGTGCCGCCTGTGTCACACGGTCACATTGTCATCATTCCAAACCCCCACCCCACCCCCAAGAAACTCGGGGCTCAGCAGCTTCCTGTCCTTGCTCTGCTGGCTCGTCCCAGAGACCCCAGCCCCCGGGGTAGCCCCTATGGAGAAACTGAGACACAGACGCCCACAGGTGGGGACGCTCACACCCCATCCCGGGAGCGCATTTCGTGCTGCGGCCAACCCCCTTGTCTCTGTCAAACCCCGTGTCTCCATCCAGGCGCCGTTGACAGAGGCTAGGTGGCGTCCACTCTCTGACCGTGTTGGTCAGGCTGCGTGACCAGGGCAGTCTGCACGGACGCGTCTCTCGGCGCCCTTGCCCGTCCCCTCCATAGGCGGCTTCACTAGAACTCTGGCTCCCAGCCCCCAGATCCAGTCTGTTCAGATGCCCCGAGGTGCTCCTGTGAGTGCCCCCCGGGTCCAGCCCTGCAGAGCCACAGTGCTTCCTTGGCTCCTGCGGCCACTGGCCTTTTTTTTTCTTTTTTTAGTCACATTCGGCGATTCTCAGGGGTTACTCCTGGCTCTGCACTCAGGAGTCACTCCTGGCGGTGCTCGGGGGATTCTATGGGATGCCAGGGATCAAACCCGGGTCAGCCATGCGCAAGGCAAACGCCCTACCCGCTGTGCAATTGCTCCGGCCCCCACCGGCCTTCTTGTCCTCTTAGGCGACACCTGAGTGGGCTCAGTCTCTGCTCTGCTCCAAAACCTCCCTCAGGAATAAATTTGACTCTTCAGTATTGTTGGCTGCCAGAGGCTTCAGTCCCGACTTCCTACGTGGCCCTGCCTGCTCCCACCATACCTGCTTCTGTCTCTTCACCCAGAGTGGGGAGGTTCCTGCCTCAGGACCTTGGCACTTGCTCCTCCCTCTGCCTGGCACAGCGTTGTCCAGATGTCCTGAGGTTTGCTCCTGCTGCCCCGGCGTCTCCTCGCTAGCTGGGAAGATGTCATGCCAGTCCTCTTGCGGTGCACTTCCTGTCCCGGTCCCTGACTGACTCTGTCTCCCTCCCTAGGTTGTCCCCCAATTGCCAGCACACAGGGGCTGGGACGGTTTTGTTCATTTCCTCAGGGCCCAGCTGGGCCCCCACTTAGTCAGGACATGTGGAAATGCCACGGAGTGGTGCCAACTGTTTCTGATTCAGAACACTGGGCCGCAGGGTGAGGACCTCTGCCTTCCCCTCTCGCCTCGATGCAGAGCTTGTCAAGGGGCCGGGGCCCCGGGTCAGGTCTCACAGTCAGGGAGACAGTTGGCTCAGTGGTGAGACAGGGC